GAAATGATTCATCTTATTCATACCAAGATCTCACTCCAAGGAGTCAAGCCCTCCAAGGTAGCTTTGCCTTAGCTCCAAAAGACTACTAAAGTGTAAAAGAGTACAAGTGGAGGTGTGAAGGTGTTAAGCCCAAGTGTGGTGTGTGAGAGAGGGGGATCTCCCCCTCCTCTTATACTAGTGCCCAAGGTGGTTTCGGAGGAGATCCCATGCAAAACCGCCTATTGAGCATTGATTGCACTGCCCTGGCAAAGGTGGGGCCGGAGAGGTGGCGTAGGGGGTGCAGGCACACCCAGGGTGTGAGTGCACCCTGGCAGGCCCCTCTGGGCACTGCCTTTGCCGGTGGGCTGCTGGCTAGGCCTAGGCTGCTCCTTGGTTGGTTTGGCGCCTAAATTGTCTAGGTAAGTGGGCCTTCTCTTTCTTCCTTTGCGTGAATCTGCATTGTGCTTTGTCTGTTTGTGCCTTTTAGTTTATTTTCCACTATATTGGTGTATAAGTCCTGCAAAACATGGCTCTTCCAAATACATGCGGAACTATGTTAATAGTAAAGGCATGTGTATAAGTTTTCTTATTTCTCCCCTTTTGAATCTTAATTGATGGTCGGATTTGGTCGTTAAGGACTGCCAACACCCCTGCCGACCTTTTGCTTGTCAATTTGACTGACTGCCATGATGAACTCAACGTCATGGCATTTCCTGTCCTTCCTGCCCTTTCCGCGCTAGTCACAGTCCCCAGAGCCACTCGCCAGCTCGGCAGGGGCCATGCCCTAGTTTTCGCCGAAGTTGGCTCGAATAGCCTCCTCTCCATAGGCATGGCTGGTCGCGAGGTCGAGCAACTCTCGTGTTGTCCATGACTTGTTACGCCCAAGCTCATGGACGAGGGACTCATTGGTGGTCCCAGAGATGAACACCTCGATCACATCAGCGTTGATGATGTCGAGGAGCTCATTGCACTGCTTGGAGAAGCGGTGGATGTACTCACGTAGAGTCTCCCCGGGCTTCTGCCTATAGTTTTTGAGGTCCTAGGAATTTCTAGGGCGCAAGTATGTGCCCTGAAAGTTCCCCATGAAAATGCACTTGAGGATGGCCCATGAATGGATGCAATCCGCCAAGAGGTGTTCAACCCATGCTCGCGCATTTTCTGTTAGGCACATGGGGAGGTACTAAATAACAAAAAGCGTCATCATCAGCTCCTCCCACATGGCATGCTAGATGAAAGTCCTCAAGCCATACACTAGGGTTGGTGTCCTCGGAGTACTTGATGATGTTGGGGGAAGCGTGGAAGTGTGCCAAAAAGGGAGCTCACCGGATCCTTTTCGCAAAGGCCTGTGGCCCGCAAGCATCCAGACTCGGGCTACGTCTATCATCCCGGTTGTGCCGAGGATGTACGAGGTTGTAGGGCTCACTAGCTGGCCATCGTAGCCTACCAGTCAAAGCTCTTGACGCCTTGTGTCAGGCACTGAACGAGCTTAGCGGTTGCCGCAAAAGTGGTCGCACGTAGGGGAAACCTCACGACTGCGACCCGTTCCATTTCCCAGCAGGGTGGGCTTCTGCTTCCACATGAGGTCCACTTGAGGCTCCGTGATCGCATGAGCCCAGCCCAGCACTGGCCTCAGGTCATCACTGTTCCATTGAGCTCACAGCCTGTTATACGGCCGTAGCCTCTAGTAGCCCCTAGAGCTCCTTATAGATGTGCTTGCCCTCATCGCTTGACGGCTCGGGTGCCGAGCACATGATCAAAGCCACCACAGCGACGTTCTGGCTAGCTCTAGGAAAGACTGGTGTCCCTCCCTCACCCTATTCAATCTAGTCAAAAAAGTGGCAGGCCCTTTCTCGCACACCGGTTGCACCGAGGTGCTGTGCACTTAGGAACTCCCTGCCCTATTGTTTGTTTGCCAGGTCAACTTCGTGGGCCCTAGCCCACTCTAGCCTTTTTAGCTCATAGGCCGCCTACTCCCTGTGGAGCTGGAGTCAGAGCCCATAACGTCTGGGGTGGATGGTGGCAGGTTACAGAAGGATTCAAGGTGGTCGTCGACCATCCCCATGAACTCTGAATGAACCGACGAGAGGCGCACGTGCTGGGCTAGTTCTCACTCGAAGAGCTCCACAACATTCCTCAAACCACAAGGCAGTGAAACGCTCGGGTCCCAGAACTCGGTCTCTGGGAGCATGGGGCCACCTCCAGAGACTTGGCAAAAGGTGTTGGCCAGTGCATAGAAAGAGTGTTAGCTTTGCTCTGGCTTGGGGTTAGGTCCGAGGTGTGCTTTGATCTACCACGCAAGCGCGTCTGGATCAACAGTGGTGAGATCACTGCCCTAGGGAGCAGGGTCCTTGGATGGTGTTTAAGGCAAAGGCACGATGCTCTCGCAGAAATGTAGCTGGCCTAGGTGGTTAGCTAGAGCATCTGGATTGAGGGTAGTTTGTTTGCTGTCCCAAGGCGTGGGGCCTTGAGACAGCGTTTGGGGTGGAAGCATGGTCCCCTCGCTGAGGTGTAGCTGGCCTAGGTGGTTAGACACAAAGTCTAGGTCATGAAAGCGAAGAACCTGGCCAAGACGGAAACTTGAGACGGGCACCGGCCCGTCGATGTCGACGGACTCAAGGCTCTCAAAGCAGATGCGGCCGCCAGAGGCCGCATCGAGAGCAAATTCATCATGGGTGTAGGGTGCCATCAACGCCCTGATCACAAATGTGAGTGCGTGACTTTCCCCTATGTGGCACCAACTGTTAGTGTTTTGAGAACCAGCCAGTAAATTTAGCGCTGCGTTGCTCAAGGGATTCGATGGCTAGCACTTAGGACATAGAGGATTTATACTGGTTCAGGACGAAGCCTACTTCCAGTGCTAGAAACCTGTGAGTACATGTTCCTTAATGCCAAAGTGCTCCAAATGGCTTACAACAGGGGGTATGCAAGCTAAGGTCCTACTGATAGGAAGAGTTCGAGGAAGGGGAAATTGATCGTTTGGAAGAAGGCATGGCTCCCCTCATATAGCCACGGGGGCTAGGTTACATGCAAAAGAGTAGTGTTCTCTTGGCTTGAGTGGCCAGGAGCCCTAGGGAGGGAGAAGCTAGTTTGCTTGGTCGGCAAGCCTGTCGGTCTTGTCAGCACATTGAGGTACGGTCGTCATGAGCTTGCCCCTTATGCCAAGGCTTGGCATACAGTGCTAGCACTGCTCTAGCCATGGCGGTGCAATGGTAATAGTGGTTGTTTACCAACTCCCCTGCCCAGTATGGCTTGCTTGCCATAGTCGTGGCCTCTATCCTATTGTCCGTTTCTTTAGGGAGAAATCGTGATGTCATCATATGGGGAGAGTGGCTACCCATCATGGACTTTCTACTTCCCTGGTCAAGATCCCATTGCTCCAACCTTGCATGGTCAGGTCAGGGGCATTGGATCTGGTCAAAATAGGAGAGCTAGCTCCTGATCGTGATTCCCATGTCGGAGTGGTTGGGATCATATGCCTGTCCATCGGGCTAGACAGGATTTGGGCGGTGCCGAGCCACGTGGGGTGATGTTGTCGAGCCCTGTTGTTGTCTTGTCTGTCAGCAGGGTGCTGACCGAGGTGACGCTTTGCTCTAGGGTAGGATGGTTAGACGGGATGGCCGTCCTTCCTATACCCGATGGAGTGCGCGTGCGCGTCCCGTCTGGGCAGGCATATTGAACGCGTCCACCCACCTCTCGTCCTTGCCTTAGCAGCTATGGCGGGAGGTGGTCGTGCAATGCGAGGTCGAGGTAGGCCTAGTACGGTTCGAGAGCGAGAGGTCGTGGTGGGATACGTTTTCGGGGCTGAGGCCAGCTGGGCTATTCTGAGCAACTCTTAAGACCGATCTTTGGGGTATCCCAATTATATAACCTCGACAGTCGCGGCCGTGCTGCGAAATCTTCTAGCTGCCTACGATGATGGTCCCCTCCACCTCCACCTTGCTCTGCTCGCCACGCTCCGTGCCTTCCCATCAGGCTGGGTCACGCTCGTCGTTAGTTGGGCGGGGGGGCGCTCACCAAGCCCAACCTCATCCAAGCCTCCATAGCTTCGCCTGCCACCTCGAGCGCTTAGCGTCTGCGGTCGTTGCCGACCGCGACACCATGCCCTCTGCTATGTTGTGCGTCGCCAGCAATGTCGCCGAGGTGTTGGCCGTGCACCCGTCGGGCCAGACCGCGCGCTTGTCGTCCTAGGCCTCGCGCGCCGACCGTGACGCCATGCCCTCCGCTGTGGCGTGTGCTGCCAACGAGGCCGCATGCACTAGGGCCAAGGAATGGCTCGGGATCCGGGACATCGTGCACGTCGCTGACCGGACCAGCGCGTCCACGTCGCCTGTGGGGGACGACGACAGCGGCGACGAGCGTCGGGCTGGAGAGCCGAGCAAGAGAGAGGCGAGTATGCCAAGCTAGGGTGTGGAAAGCGGGAAGGGCAGGATAGACATTTCACATGGTAACATTGGCTCCCATCCACACTGGCGCGAGAAGTCAGCATGCCACACGAGTAAATGTGGTAAATTCGTAGCAGTTTTCCTCTCCGCTGGTAAAAATGTAGTGGCAATCCTAAAGTAAAAAGTTAGGCCTGGTTTAAATCGGGTATCACATGGGGTGTCACATGAGAGTGTTCGAATAGTAATAATAAAATAAATTACACAAGTTCTCAGTAATTCGCAAGACGATTTTATTAAGCCTAATTAATCCATCATTAGCACATGAGTTACTGTAGCACTACATCGTCAAATCATGAACTAATTAGGTTTTAAAAAATCATTTCATAAATTGGTCGTAATCTATATAATTAATTATTTTTTAATCTATATTTAATAGTCTAGGCTTATATGAAACTTCCGATGTAATAGGACTCGAGACTTTGGAGGAAAGCAAACAAAGTCCTTAGTAATCCCGATGGACCCCACTTCTCTTCCTTCCTTTTCGTCCTCTTCTTGAGTCGTCCCCCCGAGTCCCAGTCTCAGTCCCCACCCCACCAGTCACCACCACCGTCGCAGCCGGAGGGGAGAGAACGGAAGGCAATGCCGTGCTGCCAGACGGTGCTCAGTGCCGCCGCCGCCGCCGCCAGCAGCACGCCGTCATGGCTCCATCGGCTGCACGCCAAAGGGGGGCTCTCCTTCCCCTCCCACCTCAACATCGACGACCTCCTCTACGGGGGCCGACAGGCCCAAACTCCCCCTCCCCTGCCCTTGCCGCCTTCTTCCTCCAATCACCACAACGACCTCGTCGTTGTTGTCAGAGAGCCGCCTACGAAGGCCGCTGCTAAGCCCAAGCAGCCGGCGCCGTCGGCGCAGCGCCCGCCCCGCAACCCTTTGCGACCAAACCCTAGCTCTAGCAATTTCCCGCAGCCGCCGCCACAACAACAGCTTCAGCTCGCTGCTGTGATCTCCGACGTCTTCGCGGTCCCATCCTCCGCCCCGCCGGGCACCCTGCCCCCCAAAGCCTTCCGCAAGCAGTCCCGGCCCCGCCCGAGAACTGACGAGGACCAGCCGATCCCTGCCCTTCCTGCACAGCGTCCGCACAAGGACAAGAAGGACAAGATCGCCAAGGCCAAGAAGCGCCGCCGGGCGGAGCGCGCCGCGGATGCCGATGGGGAGAGGTGCAGCCGGACCGATGTCACCGTCATAGACACCAGCATCGATGGCTGGAAGGCCGCCAAGCTGCTCATCCGCCGGGGAGATGTCTGGAAGGTCCGTGACAAGAAGTCTTCCACGGTATCTGAACTGGAGGATGCCAGTGCCAAGGGCAAGAGGAGGGCTGGCCTTGTCTCCAAGCTGCAGAGAGACAAAGAGGAGAAGCAGAAGGAGAAAGAAGCAATCACATCAGTGAGTAATCTTCATGCCAATTCGCTGTAATATTAACGACTTTGCTCTGCTTTACCTGCCTCTTGTGGTGACAAAGGAAAGTGATGTGGGGCTTTTCCTGATCTTCTTGCCATAGTAGTTTTGTGGCGATAACTTGAGGCGTATAGCCTGATGAACTGATGACGCTCTAGATAGGCACCTGTGATAGGGATGAAAACGGATCGGATACGAATGGATATGACTGATATTACATTTGTTTTCATATTTCTGTCCGGATTCGTATTCGAATACGGATAGTGTCAATCATGCCGGATAGGATCCGATTGGATATCGACATCATAAATATGTGATTTGAGTATTCGGATATGGATACGGTATTAAATGTTGAATATCCGGGATCGGATACGTAACCCCTCTAAACGGATTCATTATCGAATACGGTCGGAAAATATCCGTACCGTTCTCACCCCTACCTGTGAGAAATGATTTTGCCCAAGCACACAATTGATCGATGTCTAACTGAACCAAGCAAGCTCGACAAGCTGATGCAATCACAAAGATTCACAAGAACACAAGTGGTAAAGAAGAATTCTAATTCTCAAGGGGGCAACTATGGCACCAGCCCCAAGAATGAGAGCACTTGGCTTCTCTATTTTTTTAGTTCCAATTTTTGTTGGGGTTTGAGGAAAGGAGGAGCAAATGCTATTTTCACTTAGAACATCCCTCCTTTTTTTTGTGTGACTGGACATCCCTCCTAGTTGGGCTTTGTTTGGTTTACTTTGCAACAACAACAACAACAACAAAGCCTTTAAGTCCCAAACAAGTTGGGGTAGGCTAGAGTTGAAACCCAACAGAAGCAATCAAGGTTCAGGCACGTGAATAGCTGTCTTCCAAGCACTCCTATCTAAGGCTAAGTCTTTGGGTATATTCCATCCTTTCAAGTCTCCTTTTATTGCCTCTACCCAAGTCAACTTCGGTCTTCCTCAGCCTCTCTTCACGTTACTATCCTGGCTTAGGATTCCACTACGCACCGGTGCCTCTCCTTTGTTTGGTTTACTTTGCCCTGTCTGAAATTTGTTGAGCCTGAACATACACCAAAATACGTGTAGATCTTTCTAAGTTGGTAGCAATGCTACAGAGAGACGGGGATATTGATGAGGATCCATGTATTGCATTCAAAGGTATACTTAATAATGGTTACATCTGTATATAATACACTCATGTTTTTTAAGCATCTTGAACCATGCTGACTGCTCATTGTTAGGTGGTACTTGGCCCAACTCCTTTGTTTGTGCTTTGAACCTGAGAACTAACATCAATTTATTTCCAGTTGGTAGCAAGTTATTCTCAGTATGGGTATGCTTAAATTCATGAAGAAATAGAATCATCTATATGTTGTAGTTACTGAGTTGGAACTAAGCGTGTGTTTGGCTGAGGGGGACAATGGGGGATGGGTTGGGGCGAGCCTGTTTTTGGTGGTGTTTGGTTCAGGGACGATAGGGGATGGAACCGCCCCTACCCTAGAGGGAATATTCCCCTAGATTCGGGGTCAGCCCTGTCCCTTAGAATTGAGGGGATGGGCCATCCCCTATTCACGTCGTCTGCTCCGTTTCGATCCCTCAGGTGGTGGACGCAGAGGTTGGAGCTTGGCACAGGGAGCTGGACGTCTCCAGTGAGGTGGCAAGGGTTGCTCGATGGTGAGGGTAGCATGCGATGTGGATGCATGGTTGAGCTCAAGAGTGCCATGGCTCCATCCCTGACCAAGCTTGTAGTGCCATGGCTCCTCCCCTCCGAGAGGGCGGCGTGGCGCGAGGTGGCATGGCTCATTCCCTCCGAGCGGGCGGCACTGGATGAGCGGCGCCATGGCCCCTCTGAGCGCGGGCAGCACTGGGGTGAGCGGCGCGTGAAGAGGAGCAGCGACGCAGGAGGCACAGGGGACAGGAGACGCAGCGGCAACCGACATAGAGGGCAACAGCGCTAGGGTGATTGGCTCTGCGGACGACCAGCGCGGACTAACGAGCAGCGCGTTTTGCAATTTGTGCTCCGTGCGGTGATTTGTGCTCGGCCGCCATCCTGTGAGCAGAAGATAAGACCAAAAGAAAAGAAAAGAGAGAAATAGAGGATGACATGCAGGCCCACAGAGGATACGTGAGGCCCGTTAATAGCTTTTGCTAACGGTGTAAAAAAAAAGTCATCCCATCCCTCTAAATCCCTCCAACCAAACAATAAATTGGGATGAATCTATCCTCTCAACCAAACACGGAACGGGGACAGTCCCGTCCCAAAAATCAGGGATGGGGCAATCTCATCCCACCTCGTCTCCAAACCAAACACATGCTATGGTCAATGGTCCCTTATATATATCCTATCTTATTCAGCAAACGATGAATGGGTGCAGCCAGCTAGGGGTGTCTTCATCACTAAGAAAGGTTAAGATCATAGATTTTTTTAGGTATTTTTTGGTTTTTGAATAATAATGACATTGTATTTCCCTTGTCTTGTTCGCAAAAGATGGAATGATGCATCTATGCTCCAGGGGTGTCTTTATCAGTAAGAGCATCCCCAAGAGTTTCCGAAACCCACGCCCAATCTTGGTTTTTTGGCACGATTGAAAAAAGCTCTCTCCAACAACTCCTTATCCCAACTCTCGACCTTTCCGCACTTGGGAAACTGATCCAGAAGCGCGGAAAAATACATGTGCTTTCACGACTTGGAGTGGCGTGGCGTGACTTCTCCCAGACTTCTACCTTCTAGCGCCAAATAGAAGCTGCCCCCGCCCCTATCTGGTTGCCGCCACCCCCTAGCTCTTCCTGACATGCCCTAGCCATGCCTGGAGGCCTCTGGCTGCCCCTAGCCACTACTGGCCCGCCGCAGCCACCACCTGGCAAGCTATTGCCGCCGCTGGCCTCTGGCCTTGCCTGGCTGTGGCCGGTTGCCGGTGGCTGCGGCCGGCTGGGAGGCTGCTGGGGTGGCTGCGGCACCCAGGAACGAGAAGGGTTTCCTCCCAATTTGGAGGTGGAGGAAGAACAACGTGGGGGATAATAAGGAGAAAGGACAGGGTTCCCGATGCAAATGCGCAAGAGAGAAAGAAAGTATAAAAGTGGCTGGGGTGGTTTGGAAATAGTTCGGGGTTCCCAATGCAAAACTACCTTCTAGCTTTTAGGAGCGAGATACTGTAAATGGTTAGAGAGCCAACAAATATTCTCCCTACTACTTTTAGCGACTTGGAAAAACTCATTGATTTAGCAATTCATTTTTTGGGAACTATTGGAGATTCTCTAAAAAAGGTTAAGATCATATGTTCTGTTTATCTCTTTTCTTTTTGAATAATTGGAGTTCCTCGTTCGATTGGTATGGAGACCATTGCAGCACTTTGTTTCTGCCCCAGAATTTTTGCCTGTTCAACAGCAACCTGAGCATTCAACTCTAGATCTCTCTTATCTCTGTCCAAACATGCCCCCCCTCTGAAAGCACAACACAATATGGAATTACATAATACACTCTGTGGGGCAGAACATTATATAATCACTAGTGCACTACCTGGCTGTGGATTCAAAATCAGTCCCTAAACATTTCAGCAATAAACTACCTGACATTAGAAACTACAATACAGCCATAAACAAGATAATGAATGTTCTCATCCTCTGCACAAAACAATCAGGTGATATCTGATATACTTCCCTTGTTTTAGTAAGATTATCCCTGGCAAACAGTTTATTATTAGCAATTTGGTAAAGAAAAGCGTGAACTCTTAGAGGCATTCAATTTTTGTAATGCTGGAACATAAACAAGTCCCACTCTATAAAAGAAATTACCACACATTTTATGTTTTGTTAAGCTTCACAAATTTGTTTTTCTTATCTTTAATCCTTTGAATTGAGGCATGCCTGATTAATTTCCTGTATTAAAAAGTACTGCATGGGAGGATTCAGGCAGTGAGAATTGTGAATTCAGTTTGGTGAAATCTTTTTCTTTTTCTTTTTTGGTATTGCCACTGTGGTGTCTGTGTTGGCATGCAGTGATCAACTGTTTTGAGGGTTCACACATACATAAAAGCATGCACAACAGCCACACCATGTATACCATAGTAGTCTTGCTATGTGCTAAGAATATATCTTCTTACACAATGCAGTGGTTAGTGCTGAGGGTATGGAAAGAGATCACATGGATCAGAATTGGGTATGGAAAGAGATCACATGGATCAGAATTGTTGTTATGGGGGCAACATCATGTAGCTTCTATCCTTAGATAAAGCTGTTGGCTTCAGGATGAGCATCAGAGCATGTACATATTTTAGAACACATATGCAGACTTAATATGATCTAGTTATGAACATCACTTATTCTGGTTTGGGTCAGAAAGGTGCAACTTATATGGTCTTTTGAGTTGTGACCGAGTAACCATGATGTGCTGTTACCCTCTTTCATATAGCAGATTAAAAAAGGGGAAAAGTGGAAAACTACTGTGCTATGCTGTTATAGCATTTGTTCACAAATTGAAAAACACTACCATTTGATGTGCAGATTTCAAGGGAAAAGTGACTGGGTATAGTTTAGTAGTATGACCAGTTGGTCTATTAGAGTTCTTCTTAAGGGTGATAGATTAGACAATCCTATTGAGTAGAACAAGTTGAATAATTTAATAACCACATTACCAATAATAATAATAGAATAATTGAACCACCTAGAGAATCCTGTATTCTTGGTTTGCCAGACAATGCCTCACTTATAGCAATGCCCAGTGTTGCTTTGCTTACTGTCATGTTTGTCATCTCATTCAATATTTAAAAACTTTGATTATTGATATCTTCATGATTGTTTGCGTTGAACATGTGAAACAATATGCCTATAATTTGTTTCAAATCGTAGATTGATCATTTTATAACCTTGCTGGGTTTTATGTGTACCTTACCAAGATTTTAGAGTTTAGTGATCAAAGTTGCATTTGTAGACCATGTTGATGTCCAAATCGCTCTTTAGTGACCAAAGAGCATATCAACATCTATATAGCAATAGTAATGCCAAACTGATCATCATTTGAAGTCCAATCCA